CAAAAGAAAAAAAAAAAAAAAAGGAAAGATTCTAAAGCTCTCAAATCAAATTAAATGTACTATTGTATTTCTCTTTCGTTTCCAAATGGGGTAAATGGACGGCCTTCATATGTCCATCATGATATTTTTCCTTTTTGGTGGTGAAATTGATTGGTTGTTTTGACTTTTTCTTTTAGTGCTGCCAGCTGACAAGACCCCTCCTCTCTCTCAATTAAGGTTTCTCTCTCTTCCCATTCGCTTTTTTTCTCTCTCAAAATTGGCGGTTGGCCCCTTTAGTAAATTTATTAAAATACCCTTTACGAGAAAATTAAATTACCAACATTTCATTTTTTTAATATGTGTAATTATTATTTTATACATTATTATTGAATTTTTAAAATTTTCAGAAATAAAATTAAAATATCATCAGGTATCTTTTTATTTTTTCATATTAGTTTGTTAAATATTTAAATATATTTTAATAAAATATATGATAATTTTTTAATTAATAAAATTTAAAATTTCCGTCAAAGATGGACGAGATAATTTTTCGTATATCATATAATTATTACAAAAAATCTCTTATTTCATAGATTGTTCTAGCCTTTGTAGCCTACCAACCAATGACTGGATATGCCAGAAAAAAGTTGCGTAAAATTATGGTGGTGGGGCAACCTAATTTATTCTTAACTGCACAATAATTTATTTGAATTCATTTTATAAGGTTATGTTCTTTAATCAAGGTATTAGTTATCCTAATTGTTTTTTTATGCATTAAGTTTGAGGTATCTTATTCTTATCTCTAACATTTTTCTTTGTTATCTATGAGTTTAGTTTCGAATTTTCAACTTATCAAAAGTGAAGTTTAATCCAATTGATTAAATATAATAATAATTTGGATCAGATTTAGTTTAATTTTTTAAAATTTGATTTAATTTTGAATTAATTTTTTAAATCAATTTGATTTAAATCAAATTTTATCAGTTCGATTAAATTTATCGATTTTTTAAATTTAATTTTTAATTTTTAATTTATTATTTTAATATAAATTTTAATATATTTAAATAGATTTAGATATAAAATAATTTTTTTATTTTATAAAAATTAAAATATATATATACAAAAGTTAATAAAATATATAATTTAGTTCGATTTTTTCTTTTAGTTTTTCACTTTCTAATCCAAAATTCATCTGAACCATTATATAAATTTAATATCCGAATTTAATTTAAAACGAATAAGAAAAAATCAATTCGAATTGAATCGAATAGAACATTATAATTTGGAATTGATTTTTGATTTTTTGATTTTTTCTCATCTCTACAATTGGTTTATTGATTCATACAATTATCTTTAAAAAATAACATTTGATATGTTTAGATTTTAAATATTAACACTTGTAATCTCTTCTCATGTGCTTGTTGTTAAAAAAATTCAAGTTATCTAAATAAAATATATGTAATAAAATAAATAGTCCAAGGTCAAATAAATATAGATCAAGTGATTATTCTAGCTGTACGTCTAATAATTGTTTTGGGGTCCATTACGTTTACCTTTCCTAAAAGAAATTTTAAACCATGGATCAATTGAGTGTGCAATGCATCATTGATATCCAAGGAACACTTTGAATAAATTTGAATTCATATGTTGGAAGGAAGATAGCGTTCAAGGGATGAGAAAGGGCAACCTTCGTTGAATATCATTTTATTGGTATTTAAAACAATATTTTATTTTATTAAACAATTAATATGTTGATGTGAGTTGCATTTATATATATATTATATGTCAATTTGGCATGGACTGAAATAAAGTTATTCAAAATTCCCATTAGCTTAAAAATCATGATTAGGATTCTAAAGTTTATAGTATGTAAAGAAAGGAATATGAAATTGTATACTGATCAATACATTCAAATTCTTTGAAGGGGTACCTTGTAATCGAAGAAAGTAGGAAAAATTTAAGATGAAGTTGAATCAAATAAACCAATTATTTCTAATAGTTTAAAAAGACCTCTACCACAACTACTATATTTGAGAAAAAGTCCAATAGAATCGATCATTTTGTACATAGACATCGGATGAAAACAAAACCCATTTTCATATCAATACTAAATTTTTGGAATGAGTAACGCATAATTTTCTAAAATTCAAACTTTGACCTTTTAGAAACGAAATTTTAAGTTGTAACTGAGTCGGGGTAGCTAATACCAAATTTGATAAACCTAAAAAATAAGCTAGGATCAATTACAATTCCTTATTCCACTTGATGGTATATAATATTTAGTATGGGCTAAGTCATAATTTGACTTAAACGTGAAGACAAACTGTTGATATATATATATATATATATATATATAAGGGATCAAATTACATTAGTACAAAATTAAAAAGTTTTATACTTTTTTAATTATTAATTTTAATAGATCTAAAATATAAGAAACAAGTTTAAAAAAATTAAAAAATCCTTTAAATATATTGAAATTAATTATTATAAAAATATATAAAATTTATTAATTTTACATTTATATAAGTTAATCCCTCTTATATTAGTGTCAATATGGTTCAAGAATGACAGAACATCTGCCTTTTTTATTCAACGGAAGAAGTGTTTTGTTGCTGAAACCGTTGCAAATATATCAAACACGTGATTCTCTTCCTTTTCAAGGAAAACAGGCTATAAGTGTTAAATTTGAACTTTAAATTTGATAATATAAATTATTAAAAATGATAGTATAAATTAATTGAATTAATTTTCATATTTTTAAATGGTAGATAAATATTAAATTAATTATTAATAAATATCAAATAAATGGTAGACAAAAGTTAATGGATTCAAACTCAAAATTTCATATTGAAGATTTTGAATTTGAATTATATAGCATATAAGATGGGATCTGTAGAAAGGAATATATATTTTTTTAACTTAATATTACCTAACACATCTCTTATGTACTAAATTTTTTCACAATTTTTCTATAATTTTTGTGCAAATTTTGTAAGAAATTGTATGCAACCAACGCATCTATCATGTACTAAACTTGTTCACAATTTTTTTCTATAACTTTAATGGGAATTTTGTGATAGACTGTATGCAACAATTATACAAAAATATTTGATAAATACTCGTTCACCTTTTTTATTCAATTAACTAAAAGGATTTGTTTAAGAGGTTAGAAGTAAAAAAAAAAAAAAGACTGTTGTATTGGAATTGTGGCTATCAAAAGCTATAAAGTTGCAGACTATATATTATATCTTGAAAAAAAAAAAATCCCAAGATAACAATAACAAATAAGGGCCAAACAGTCCAACTCATTTTTATATTTAGGTCAGAGTATAAAATTTTATACCTTATGAATGTAAGGTGGGTTTAATAGGTTAGGACAATAGTAGAATATTTAAAATGATTTCACCTCTTATTTATCATAAGTAGAGCTGTTTATCATAAAGTACGGCATTAATTCTAAAAATGTCATTTAATTATTAATTAATCTTAGTCGTGGCAAAAAATAAAAATAATATTAGTCGGACGATGTTTATAGTTAAAATATTTTTAATTTATAGACTATTAAAACTTGACATTTTTAGAGAGATTTACAAAAATGAAATTTATTAATCCAATCTTTCATATGTAATGGTAATATCGATTACTATGATTGTTATTTTTATAAAATCTAACCATTGAATTTGTAAATAATTTTTTGTTATAATACTTTTTTTAAAATTATTCTGATTTGATAATACCTTCTTTTCATCCAAGAAGAGTATGATTATGGGCATGTCAACGAAGTTAACGATGGTAACGACATTGACAACCAAAGTCAAGGTCCGCGAATCACACAAGAAAAGGTCTCCATTTTGTGAACCGCCCAAGGGGACGTCGGTCATCAAGTTTAAGGAAAGGACAAATCCGTATAACAACCGCTTATTGTCCATTTTTTCGTCTTTTACTAATAAAAACAATTTAAAGGAAAAATCAGCTACATCTTCAGCACACAATTAGTTCAATGTACTTTTCCAGCTTTTAGATTTTTGTTTTTGTGGAGTCCATTCTAATTACTAGGTGATAACGCGGGCCCAACCATCAGATTAATTGAAATAACAATACAAGGTTTATGAAATAAAATAATACAAGGGTTATCCTGAAAAAAATTATTTTATTTTATCTTTTATAATACACTAATGTATATCTTTAGATTTTGTTAGAGTTTAATTTTTTTTTTAATTTTAAAAATACACTTTCTCACATCAAGTTAATACATTTAAAATTTTACTTCAAAATACTTTTCACAAATATTGATATATGATTGACAAAAACAAAACTCTTATTTTTAAAAATTAAATTAAACTCTTGTAAGTATAAAAAAATTATTTAATAATAAAAAACAAATAGAAAGAAATTAATAATATTGCATGGCTTTCATTGAGAAAGTTTTTATTTATGAATTATTAGTCAACATATAATTGAAATTTTTTTTTTTTTTGGTGTGTGGGAATTCAGACATGGTGGACCGACCAAGGAAAAGTTGAAGCCATGCATAGATGATGATTCATGTGAATTTCACTATTTGTAGTTAGGAATATAAACTTTATTGCTAGGGGAAGGAGAAAAGTACATGTTTTACTTTTTCACTACTACTTTATAGTTGAGTTACAGACATAGAGCGGTATATTTACCGTTAAATATAAAAGCTATAATATATATTCAGTTTTTATATTGGATTTAATTCACAAAATAAAATTTATTTTCCTATGATCAAAAAGTTGTTAGAAATTTACTGACCAAAGCAAATTCCTTACTTTGTGCATGCACCATTAATTTTACTTGTAATGAGAGATAATCATGAATCAATCACAATAAACATATTTGTTGGGCTGTAAATTTGAATATTTATTTATTTATACATATAATAAATATATAATAATATATCAGCAAAGCATATTTCAAAGGTTAAAAAAAAATTGGCGAAATTGCATAATAAATCAAACCCCCACCCAAAAAAGAAAGGGCAAGTGTAAACAAAGCCACCTTCATTGTTAACACGTCCCCATCTTTTTTTTTTTTTTATTGTATATTTTTTGCCCTTTTTAGTTCTCTTCTCTTGTTTGTTGCCAGTTACTCTCTCTTGAGATCAAACTCGCCTTTGTTTTTCCTTTCTGTCTCTTTCTCTTCTTTTCTCTTGATCCATTTGTCTACGACGGACTGCCGTTTTTCTTCAATCTTTTCATCCTTAAAATATCTCTCTCAAATGCAATCTTATTGAGGTTTTTTTATATCATCAACCCATACAAGAAAAAACCAATCTTTCAAACACATTTGAAGTGATTTTTTGTTCATTTCTTGCTTTTTTTTGGGGGGGGGGGGGGTGGGGAGTTGTTTTGGTTTTGTTTTCTTCGAGAAACTAAGGAAAAAAAAAACTGTGGGTTTGGATATCAAAATCTGGAAAGTATCCAAAAAACATTGGTTTTACTTGGTTTGGTTTGGTTTTAAAGATCAAGGGAAGAAAGCTAGAAAACAAAGGGAAAACATGTTGGATCTTAACGTTGATATTGTCTTAAGTGAGTCATCTTGTGATGAGAACAACAAGATGTTAATAAATGGAGACAAGCTACCAGAAGCTGTAACATTTACTCAAATGGAAGATTCAGGTTCGACTAACTCTTCCATCATCAACGATGAAAACGTTCCATCTAATGCTGGGGACGAAAACTCTTCAAACAACGCTTCTGCATTCATTTTTGATATCTTAAAGAAAGAAACACATGATACCACCACCACCAACAATGCTAAAAAGGTTGAAAACACTTCAACGGGCTTCGTTACGGAACAGCTCTTTCCGGTCACCAGAGAAAAAGGCAGTCTGGAGTTGGAGTTTGGAACAAGTTTTGGAACCCAGTCTTTGCTTAGGCCTCAGTGGTTGAATTTATCTTATGCTGAGTCTAGTGGTGAGGCAGAACTGAAAACTGTTCAGATGAAGCCTCAGCCAAGGAAGAGTAGACGGGGGCCAAGGTCCCGGAGTTCACAGTATAGAGGTGTCACGTTTTACAAGAGAACAGGCCGATGGGAATCACATATATGGTAATAATTCATATAAATATAGATATATAGTTTTCTTCTTACATTAATTCTTTTTGTTTTTTCTTAATAGGGATTGTGGGAAGCAAGTATATTTAGGTAAGTAAATGACTTATCTAACTTTTTTTTTAAATTTAATTAGGTTAAGGAATTGATGATTTGTGAATAATTCATAGATTTAGATCCTTCGCTGATAAAGGCATACTTGTTCTTTTCCTTTCTGTCAGGAGGATTTGAGACTGCCCATGCTGCAGCCAGGTGAGTTTTTTTTTTTTTAATTTTCTTCTGCATGATAGGTAGTTATATGTATCATATTTTTTGGTTCAAAGTTTTATATGGATCTTAATTCAGAGCATATGATCGAGCTGCAATCAAGTTCCGGGGAGTTGATGCTGATCTCAACTTCAGTTTGAGTGATTATGACGAAGACAGGAAACAGGTACCATATAGCAGAAGACTATGAATTTCTTAACTTATTTTGTTGTTTACTTGATTTTGATTGTAAATGTATTGCTCTGCAGATGAAGCACATGAGTAAAGAAGAATTTGTTCACATTCTTCGTCGTCAATGCGCTGGATTCCCAAGGGGGAGCTCAAAGTACAGAGAGGTAACCTTGCATAAATGTGGTCGATGGGAAGCACGAATGGGTCAATTCCTTGGAAAGAAGTGAGAATCTGTTTTACCAAAGCTTTGTTTCATATGATCTTCGGATTAGATTTTGTCATGAAAATTTAGTATACATACAATATTGTCTGTCAGTACTCCATAATCCAGATTAGGCTTTTAGTTAAGAACATATCACGTTTCACCTTCTCTTATGAATCAAAATCAAAGATGAAAATTAATCTGAAAGGGGAAAAAAATTGTATAGGCTGTGAAAATTATGACCCTTGCTTGCAGGTATATTTATCTTGGATTATTCGATAGCGAAGTAGAAGCTGCAAGGTCTTTTGTGATCATAGTTTTATTCTCCAAGGCACTGATTTTATATAAAGTAAAATGTAGTAATTCATATGGTTTAATCTAACTCAAATTTCACTTTTTCGTTTCTGAATTCAGGGCTTATGACAAGGCTGCAATGAAATGTAATGGAAGGGAAGCTGTAACCAACTTCGAGCCAAGTACTTATGAAGGGGAGATTACAAATAGTGGAGGAGGTACTTACAGATTTGAAGCCTGTTGTTCTGTTTTTGTTCAAAACAAGTGATACTAAATTTTCTTATATATTGAGTGTAGGCAATCGTCACAATCTTGATTTGAGCCTTGGGATTTCAGCTCCTTCAGTCGCCCAAAATGGGAGCAACAATGCAGGGGAGTTCCATTTTCATCAAGCTGCTGCTAGTGCCGGACAGAGATCAGTGGTATAGTCTTGGACTGAATTGTTGAGTAGGGATGTAATCTTGAATGGGAAGCCAAAATTTTTGTTCTTTGAAAACTTGGATCTTAGACTCCATGTCTTTGAAGAAACCTCCTGATGCCATTAGCCTTTCATTTGAAAAAATTGTCGGTAGCAGTGGCCTTGTAGTACTGTCAGATTTGCTTCCATTTCTGCAATCATCCTCTTAATCATCCTTTCTTTAATCAACATTTCCTTTTGTACAACTGTTTCAGAATTAATGTACATACTCATTTTCCTTAGTGTGTTCTTTTCACAGTTTGAGAGATCTGCTTCTACACCTGTTGGTGTACAACCTCAACATTGTCTAACAATAGCATCAAAGCACCCTCACATATTGTCTGGTGTTTGTCCTGCTCTTTTACCAAACAGTAAGGTATTGTCTTTCATATTTCATTGGCTCATTTGCTTGCTGCTTCTACAATTACAGACATGATAATAATTTGTGTTTCATCATGGTAGATGCCAATAGCTTTTTCGTCTATACAAACTTTCAGATCCTTACAACATTTATTTTAAGAGTGTGGACATTCATGTTTTCTGTCTCCTTTACTGATGCAAACTACACAGAATTAATATCAAAAGTGAAGATTTCAGTAACACATTGAAACTATCTAATTCTGGAAATTTGTACTTATTTCAACTACCAAGTTAAAATTTCCCCTAACAATGACAATGTTAAACACATATAAGGAATACAGGATGTATTCATTGATCTTATGATGACAGGAACGGGCTATGGAGAAGAGGGTTGAAGCTGTTTCTTCGACAAGATTTTCGGACTGGCCATGGCAAATGCAAGGCAATGGCAACATTACCCCAACCCCAGTGTTTCCTATCGCAGCATCATCAGGATTCGCTCCATCCAGTGCCACTGCTTCATCAACTACTTTCCCTTTCAACAATTCGGTCCGAAACATCTGCCTTCCGATGCCGGTCACATCCACCAATAACAATTCTCGTTACTATAGTTACAGAAGCTGAAATCAAAGACCTCTTGAACCGCGACAAAACCTTCATTATGCTCATTAGAGAAGTTAGGTGAGCATAAAAGCTGTAACAATTGGAAGAGTAGTCTGTAGAGCTTGCATTTGTTACAAGTTTGTAAAAGAATATCAGGAATTTGTTAATGTTGCAATACTCAAGAACCTGCTTTCATAACATTTTTGTTAGTCTAATCCTCTGCAAGACCTCGTGCAATTATATAGAATCACTTGGTTCTTACCATCTAACATTGCAAACAACATAGTCTTACGGGGTTAGTGTCACGATTCCAGAGGGAAGCCTTTAATCCTTGGTTGTGTACTAGAGTTCGTTTGGATATTTTATTACCTTTTGTAAAACAGAACCGAAGGGTTCAATGGGATGAAATGAATAATATTTTGCATGTTGGTGTAGATTGTTACAGTTAATTTAGTTGGACCAAATTCGAGTATCCATATTCATCAGGGACTTGGATTAGTACCCAGCTTAAGCATGTGCAAAAAAAAAAAAAAAAGGCTTTAGAATTCAAAACAGTGACATGCAAACGGAAGAATGATTGCTATAATGAAGCAAGCAAAGAACACTTGAGAAGAATTAAGAGGTTGGGGCCCGCTTAAGTACTTAGCAAGAAATGGAAAAAGAAAAAAAAAATATAGCTACAATTGACTGAAACAAACTTAAATAAGTAAATCAAATCCTCATGGCAAGAAATTTTCTCTCCAAGATTGGGATTGTTTCAAAACCAGTTGCAGTAGTCAATTTCAACTAGCTCAAGTTGCAAACAAGGATGTAGCATTGATGCTCGAGGTTGCCATATCCAAGCTTCATGCCCTAATTTACTCAAACAAAAACAAGTTGGTTGAGATGTTGCAAGTTGCAAAAAAGAAAATATCAGGCCCCCCACATTTAAGAACCTATCTCCAAGGCCTGTATATTAATTACACTACATTAATTTCAAACCTACCCCAGAGTTGCATATCCCACCTCCAAAATCTCATTGTACACTCCACGTCGATTGGTTTCGAGGGTTGATAACATGTACTTGTAGAGTTGAATTACTTGTCAAAAAACTTTAATTTAAATATCATTTGCTCTCTCGTAATAATATATTTATAGTTATTTTTTAACTTGATTTGGACTCAAAAAACTCACTTAATTCCACTTTTCCCTTGTTGGACATCCATGTCAATAATGTACAGTTTGGTCAGGTGAGTAAAATTGAGAAAGATGAAAGATGTTTGCTGAGAATATACACAAAGTGTTGAGAATGAAGGTGGGAGAGCAAGTGTTGTGAATTTTAATGGTGTTGTTTTTGAAGCTTATCTTGTAGTGGAAATTTGTATTTGTGACCAGTGGTAGCTGGCAAATAGAGAAATGGCAATGGGCTTCAAAGAGACCTTAATCTTTATTGCTCTTACAGGGTCAAATCCTTAGATTCTAAAATGAAACAGAAGCACACCTTGAAGGAAATAAATAAAGATTATCATTCAATACATGAAATTTTTTTATTTTAAGTTTAAAAGATTAATATGTATTAATTTAAAATATATTTTTAAAAAATATTAATAATTTAATTATTAAACTATTGAATAAACTTTTTTGTGGAATTGCAACATTTCACTATCAATAATAATAAAAATTCAAAATAGTTTTTTTTTTTAATTACAAAAGGAACCATATTTTATAAGCCATAAAAAAAATACAAGCATTAAAGATGGAACCTAGCTTTGTAAGAATTCAAAATAACAATTTTATATGATTCTAGAAAAAAAAAATATAAACCAAATTCAGCCCAGTTGAAATGTTAAAGAGAAACCCATCCATCTGCCAAAACAAATGGGTTTGAATTGAAATTTTAATTTTTAATCCATTGATTTACCGAGTGACATGGGTTTAAGAATTGCAGCTCTTGAACTCTCGAATAAAAAACATGACAGCTACATATAAATGAAATTAGACAAATTAAATCTGATTGTAAATAGAAAAAAAAAAATCTAATCCAAAATTCTTGGTTCAACCATCACAAAATTTCATGAGCCAAACTATTTCACTTATCCTAATAATATAGACCCAAGACCAAAGCTAATAAATCAAAGCATAGAGGTGACAATGAAACCAAATCAAGTTGGAATTCTATTATAGTCATTTCAGATTTAAGTAATTTTTTACTTCATTTAAAAAAATTAATAAATATCATCAAATTTGAATAAGATTTCAATGCATTTCAAATTTTGAAAAGATCAATTTGATATTATTATTAATTTTTTTTTGTTTTAAATTGTATTGAATTAGATGGATCGTTTCAATTTGTTTGCAACCCTTGAAAGCAAATTCCATATTATTAAATTTGGATACAGAAGTACTCTTAATATGTTTTAAAATTTCAGGATCATTTACAATATATGTTTTTAAAGAAAAGCACAGACCCAATCCTTTGCTTCTTCACAAGCCTTTAAAGGCCACAAATTTTATTTTTGTTGCGCCTGAAGCAATAATCACAACAATACAGAAGCAATAGACAATAATTAATAATCAAATACGTAAGAAAAATAAAGCACACCAAGATTTACGTGGAAAACCCTCCAGTGTAGAGGGAAAAAATCACGGACCACCAGAAAAATTTTCACTATCAAATAATAGTTATACAAAATTCTTCTCTAGCTAAAACTAGAGCTAATCAACAACTAGAGAAACAATTGGAGAAATCTCACCAAATAAGTGACTCAACAAATACACCATGGATTTGTTCCTAGAGAGCTTCAAACCCGATCTTCATCGTTCAGAATGTAGAACTCTGAATCATAAACCTCCTGACAAGGTTCTAACTCAATCGGACCACGGATCGATTTTCGCTCAACCAATTCTCCCTTCTCTTTTTTCTTTCTCTGCTTTTCCTGGCTTTTCTTCTTTCTTTGCTTGGTTTTCGACACACACTTAAAACAACCCCACCTTTTTTTTATTAAGTAGTTAGGGCTCTGTGTAAAATAAAAGATCAAGGCCCATGGGCCTTTACTTGGTCCAAAATCACTTACATGGGACTGGACCCCATTTTCCTAACAATCTCCCCCTCCAGCCCCATTAGGAGGAGATTCACCACCATAGCAGTTTCATTTGGAGCTTACCTTGGCCAGGGAACTCATTCTGACTAAGTTACTGCAAAGCTCAAGCTTTTCCCTGGGAAGTATCTTAGTCAACATATCTGCTACATTCTTATCAGTATGGATTTTCTTCAATAGCATCTGCTGTTCTTCAATCACTGAACGTAACCAATGATATCTAACATCAATGTGCTTTGTTCTAGCATGGTACATGGTATTCTTACTCAAATATAAAGCACTCTGGCTATCACAAAATACCACATACTCTTTTTGATTCAACTCCAATTCAAGAAGAAAACGTTTCATCCTAAGCATTTCTTTACATGCTTCGGTTGCTGCAATATACTCAACCTCTGTAGTTGACAAAGCAACACACTTCTACAACTTAGATTGCCAAGATACAGCTCCTCCTGCAAAAGTGAACAAATATCCTGAAGTAGATTTTCTACCATCAAGATCACCAGCCATATCAGCATCATAAACCCTTCTAGAACTGGTTGTGAAACTTCATAAGTCAAGCACATTTTTGAGGTACCCCTCAAATATCTAAAAATTTATTTCACTGCTTCCTAGTGAACCTTTCTTGGATTAGAAAGAAATCTGCTCACTACACTACCTGCATGAGTAATGTCAGGCCTTGTACAAACCATAAGATACATTAAAGAACCGACTGCAGAAGAATAAGGAATACTAGACATAGCTAGTTTCTCTTCCTTAGACACTGGAAAAGATTTCTTACTTAGATGAAAATGGTTGGCAAGTGGACTGCTAACTGATTTAGCATATTGCATGTTGAATCTACCAAGCACTCGTTCAACATACTTTTCCTATGACAACCATAGTTTTTCAGCTCTCCTATCTCGGATAATATCCATACCAAAAATCTACTTTGCTGGACCTAAATCTTTCATATCAAAAGATTTAGACAATTGTTCTTTCAACCTGCAAACCATACTAGCATCTTGTCCTACAATCAATATATCATCAACATATAATAATAGGATAATGAAGTTACCATTAGGGAATTGTTTAACATACACACAAGAATCCGCTGCTGTTCTTTTATAGCTATGACTCACCATAAAAGAATCAAACTTCTTGTACCACTGTCGCGGAGCTTGTTTCAAGCCATACAAGTTTTTCTTCAATTTGCAAACTAAGTGCTCTTTCCCTTTCACTTCAAAACCCTCAGACTGATTCATATAAATGTCCTCCTATAAATCACCATGCAAAAATGCAGTTTTAACATCAAGTTGCTCAAGTTCAAGATTCAAACTAGCTGTCAATCCCAGTACCACTCGAATAGAACTCATTTTTACAACTGGAGCAAAAATCTCACCAAAATCGATGCCTGGTTTCTGAGAAAAATCTTTTACTATCAATCGAGCTTTGTACCTCACTAGTTTGTCACCATCCTTTTTCAACTTGAACACCCATTTATTCTTTAATGGTCTCTTCCCTGTTGGAAGTTTAAAAGATCATAAGTATCATTCTTTCGTAATGACTCCATCTCTTTTTTCATTACTTTTAACCAGTGCTCTCTATCCGGAGTAGCCTGTACATATTGGAAGCTTTCTGGCTCTCCTTCATTGGTAACTAAAATAAAATCTGAACTTGGATACCTGATAGATGGCCTGCGCTCTCTAACAGATCTCCTGGGCTGAGACTCTATATCACTTGATGCCGAAGGTAGCTCCCCCTACTCAACACTCTCAGGTAGAGAGGATTGCTCCCCCTTCAAAACTAATAGCATCTGGCTCATCACCAACTGTGCTGGCTCATTCATATCCCCAAGTTCTGTTTTGGCTCATTTTCACCATCTGTGGCTCTTTCCTGTGAAATCCCTGTCGGTGTTGAAACATCACACTCAACAGTAACTCGTGTAGTCTTCTCATTTTTCTCAAGGTCTGCTATGGTTTCTTTTTCATGAAAGACCACATCTCTGCTTCTGACTGTCTTTCTCTTTACTGGATCCCATACCCTGTAGCCAAATTCCTCATCACCATATCCTACAAACACACACTGTGTAGCTTTACTGTCAAGCTTTGATCTCTGCTCTTTCGGCACATGCATGAATGCTTTACACCCAAAAACTTTCAAGTGAGAGTATGAAGCATCTTTTCCTGTCCACACTCTTTCTGGAATGTCAAAGCCCAAAGGAACTGATGGTGACCTGTTAAGTAAATAACAAGCTGTGTTGACTGCTTCACCCCAGAATGGCTTTGGTAATTTTGCCATCCTCAACATACATCTGACTTTTTCCACAATGGTGCGATTCATTCTTTCAGCTATACCATTATGCTGCGGTGTTCCAGGTTCTGTCCTCTCATGCCTGATCCCATGCTTTGAGCAATACTCTTCAAAGCTTTTAGATGTGTATTCCCACCATTATCA